AGAAAGTAAACTCCCAACTCCATTGAAGTAGAGAAGAGGTACTTTTATTGAGTTTGAAATGATAGAAGCGAAAGAAAAGCAAGATCTGATTCAAAAGGTGCGAAAATTATATATTTAAAGTTTCCCCAAATCCCACCCTCAGGCTGAATGTCCAGTCCACATTCTAGATAGTGTCATGTGGAGCACATCTTCAGGTGTTTTCATCCATCTGGAGTTCTGGGATGGTTGGCCTTGACTGGGTGTAAACAACTCCATTCAGCAGCACAATAATACTTGAGAACAAACCTCCCTTTTAGTTCACATAGGCCTTCATCACACCAGCTCACTTTCCAAACCCAAATACCATCCCCCCCTGCCTGTTACTATGGCAAGCATCAAAAGGAAAACCCATGCTGGAGATCCGGCTAACATTCACACATAAAAATATTTTTGGGATAGCTTGTATTTTCAGGAAAACGTGGTAATTATCACCATGTTTTAGTAGCTTTTTGCAATTTACTATCTAGAGATCCTACAACGGTAGAAGTTTGTTTTAAATAAAATAATAAAATGTTTTCTAGAATAGAGAACAGTCTTTTTGATAAGTCTGTCATTAATAACATTTAATTTCCATAGTTAAACAAATCCTATTTAAATATGTAAGTCCTTTGAAATTCTTATCCTGTTTGGAAGCTATAATCCTTGTTGACACAAGCTCTCATTTTTTGTTTGGCAATCTGATTGGCTGAGTTACTCTTTTTTTTTTTTTATAGAGAATGTTGGAAGTCTCAAGGGTCCAAACTCTGGACCTGGGCAAAACAGAAACTCAATTGCTCTGGGACTGTTAAACAGAAACATGATTTATTTAGGCCAGAGCCTTGACACTCAATGAGTCCTCTGTGTTGAAGTTTGTTGCAAAGTCAGCACTGGGAGCCTCTGCCTCCCAATGTCTTTTTAAGTGGGGCCCACACCCTCTTTCTGCCTGGACACGCCTCTGTCTCAGCCACCATCCGGTACTCAAGCCGTCGGTTTCAATCAGCAGTCCCTGCAGAAGAGAGAAATGCTACAAAGATTGCTGGTTGGTCCTGTCTCATTTAGACAAAGTTATCTCATGTAGCAATGCCAGCATTACTCTTACTCTGGTGTGCATTGTCAGATGTGTGATATTTGATGCACATTGGTTAAAAAAATATTTTTTTACTACCATTTTTGCCACATTTGCACATTTGCTAACTGAGGTAATTGCTAACATCTGTCAGATGTGAGGGTGCCCTCACACTTCTGGAAGATCATTAAAACTGGGTTCTGCCAGCTAATCTGGGGCCTTGCAGTCCTACATATGTATTGTGTTATGCTGTCTTATGAAAATTAACTCAGAGCTTTGATATCTATACTCTAAATGTTTATGATCTAAATGTACTGTATTTCCTTTAAATCTCTTAGAATATACTTCAGTGTCATCAGAGCTGCAGACAAATTATACGTTTGTATCCCTGCATGCTCTGAAGCACCAACTATATTTGGAAATGAATCCGAAGCATAGTATAGCCTTAATGAAAAGAATAAAGCAAAAATATTGATGCAGTTAGGGCAAATAATGCATTAAGTACATAGCCTATGCTTGGATAAAAAAATGACAGCCTAATTTTCATGTATCCAATTAATAATGAGTAGAGCTTGGACAAATATTGTAGACACATCTCATAAATGGAATTGGAGCACAGTAACACCTGCCAGTGTGGGGAGTCTTAAACTAACAGATCTTTGATTTTAAAACTTAAAACAATAGAGGAATATGTCTTTAAAATTTAATGTGTGGGAAATTGATACTTCTTGTGTACAAATGAGCAAAGTTCTGTAATGGTGCTGATAATTGCTATCTTATGGTGTTTCTGAAAAACTTACTGACTCCCAAGGGGTGCAGTGGCTCAGCTGTTAAAGACTCTGAGCTTGTCAGCCAGAAAGCTGAACGCCTGAGTTCAAGACTTAAGCACTGCGCAAAGAGGAAGCTTTCATTCCTTGTTCCAGCTCCTGCCCACCTAGCAGTTTGAAAGCATGCAAGATAAATAGGCACCACTTGGGTGGAAAGGTAGCAGTGTGTACCTTTGGCATATACCCTTGCTAGCCACCTGAACATGGAAAATGTCTTTAGACAATGCTGACTCCCTTGGCAAAGAAATGGAGATAAACACTGCACCCTAGCTAGAGTCAGACACAACTGGACAGAGAAATGTTTACCTTCACCTTTTCCTGATTCCCTTACGAAGTTTGTCTGGGGTGTCAACGGAGCATTTCTTTCCTCTTCCTGTTGGGCTGGTAGAAATTCTGACATGTTGCAATAATGTTTTTAATTTGTATCTCTGAAAGGAAGAAAATCAGGTTGTGCTTGTTTCTGCATTGCTCTTTAGCCTAATGATTGTTTGCTGCATCAGGATTTGCAGTTCCTAGGTGGGGTGGAGTAGTGTTCTAAATAATTCCTTCCCTCTCTTCCCAGTATTCATTCTGGGAAATGGAAGCATATATTTCCAGTATACATTCTGGGGAGCCTAGTATACTTCATACTGAAGAATTTGAAGGTAAGAGTGGGAGACTGAAGGAAATATTTTTCATAAACATGAGAACTGAACATTTTGGATAATTCTCCATCTTCAGAAGATATGGAGAAGAAAAAGAGAGAGAAACCTCTAGAAGCAGCACAATTTCTTCTTATTAGGCTGCTCCCACAATAGAAGTAGAATTATTTTTAGGTAGGGAAACTTTAAAACTCAAATAAACAGATGAAAAAAATAAAAATTAAATGATCGTTTTAAAAATCTTTATATAGAATTATAAAGCTTCTATTTCCTGGTGTTGTTTTGTTTAGAAGATTAAAACTTTTTACAATTCATTTTTGAATTCTTGAGACTAGATCTCAAATACTGGTAAGATGCTGTTTATCTTGTCTTATTTGAACAATGTAATAGGAAAACTAATATTAAAACTGAACAAAGTTTTTTGATCCCCCAGTTTCCTGATTAATTACTTGTCTAAGAAATCCATTCAAGTTATGATTAGCTGCTGCTTTTCATATAACGACAAAGGATAAATAATGTATTTTGTACAAATGATGTAGTATAATGTCATTTCATTAAACTATTTAGAAGGGAAAGTTATAAGTAACCCGTCAATACTAACTCTAGGAAGGTGAAGTAGTACAATTTTCCAAACAAATGTTACTAAAATGTCCATTCCAAGCAGCTGACAAATACTCAGTCTACAAGGGCTTGAGTACAAACATGGAACATGTTTGTAATGTTTTTAATACTTTAATTCTTAAATATTAATGAAGTAGAATAAGTACCTTTATAGATGTGGCACTGATGGAAAATTGTTCTTTATATTGGTATTTTATTGTTATGTACACATTTTATAAATTAGTTTTAGTTAACAAATATATTACTTTTGTTCTGAAGAAACAACTTCGTCTATTATCTCCTATATGAAATTCCAGTGCCATTAAAGTCAGTTAAAAGAAATCCAGTAGAATAAAAACAGTGAGCAAGCATTTTCTGTTCTCTAGAATTGTTTTCATAAAGTTGAAAGGAGATAAAAAAAAAATTTACAACATGAAAAAGCCCTTATTACACAGTTCTTAGGGGAGGATGATACTAAAATTTGACCTAGCTTTTTCTAGGTGAAAAATCTGTCAAACTACTTCAACATAGAATAAATAGTTGTTTTGAATACTTAAATGCTAGCAAACTGGGTAGTTTAAATAACCAGAGAATGTGTACTAATAAGTACTATTTTATAAAAGTTTTCAAAACTGCTTACTGAGGATTAGCCTCTTTAAGAACCACTCACTATCAAGTTTGTGCACATACAACAAACAATTATCTATTAGTAAAAGAGTTTCCTATTATACTGTAAATAGGGAGAACTGCTTTCTCATACCAAGATAGCTGCTGGTGGTTTATCTAAAAAAAAAACAAAAAACCACCATACTATCTCAATGAGATACTTCTTGAATACCTGAGTAAACATCTGGCCTGGAAAGGGACTAGGGTTCCAGGAAACTAGAGGCAAGTGACTTGAGCCAGGATCTCAAGGGTTTTTCCATTTTCCGATTTGTTCCCCTGCCCTTGAATTAATGGGGATAAATGCTCTTCTCCTATTGTATTAACATTTTCAGATGAAAGCACCATCACAGCAATATTCAGGAATTGCAAATTTATGTCTAAAATAGATTGCGTATGTTTGTGTGCCGTCAAGTCAGCGTTGGCTCCAGTTTGATTGGCAAGATTTTCAGAAATGTTTTACCCTTGTTGCTTCCTAGAGCTGAGAAAGAGTGACTGGTCCAAGATCATATAGATGGCTTCCTGTCTAAGGTGGGACTAGAACTCAAAGTCTTCAGGATTCTAGCTTGATATCTTAGTCATTACACCACACTGGCTATCATATAAACATAGTATAGTAAAGGTAAAGGTTCCCCTCGCACATATATGCTAGTTGTTTCAGGCTGTAGGGGGCGGTGCTCATCTCCGTTTCAAAGCCCAAGAGCCAGTGCTGTCTGAAGACGTCTCCATGGTCATGTGGTGGGCATGACTAAATGCTGAAGGCTCACGGAACGCTGTTACCTTCCCATCAAAGTGGTCCCTATTTTTCTACTTGCAGTTTTACATGCTTTTGAACTGCTAGGTTGGCAGAAGCTGGGACAAGTAATGGGAGCTCACTCCGTTCCACAGTGCTAGGGATTCGAACCACCGACCTTTCTGATCAATAAGCTCAGCATCTTAGCCACTGAGCCACCGCATTCCTTAGACATACTATACATAACATACTGTACAATTTATATACTATATATTACCCCCCCACACACATATACTATATATATTATATTATCATATATATTATATTATTATATTGTTATTATATATTATACTTAACATACTATACAGGCTTACAATATGATAATATGAGCCTGGACCTTCAAATCAGTTTAGGTATTGCTGCAATCTTGTGACCCTTTTTTCCTTTGGTAGGGTGAAGCAAGACTTGCGGCAAAGCGTGCAGCACGAGCTGAAGCACGGGAAATTAGGATGAAAGAACTTGAGAAGCAACAAAAGGAGGTATGTGACAGCTTCTTATTGTCTCCATTATCTTGACTTCTGAAGTACAAGAGGTTTTTGATATTTGGGATAAAACAGACAAATAATTTTTGAAAGAGTAATACTTGTTGCCTCTTACAAGAATGTTATGAAATTATCACTTCATTGTTGTCTATGTAAACATATGCTCACACTCGTTTGTAAATACATGTGATTGTTTTTTTTTGGAAAAAAAATAACAGCCTGCATATTTAGAAGTAAAATGCATCTAGTTCTTCCTACTTGAGGACTTTACATAACAGTCTATTAAGGAATGCAACTTAGATGAAAAATTGTTGGTTACGTGCACAAAATTGGTGCAGGGATCTAGGTCAATAAAGATAATGTCTACTTTATAAGGTAAGATACACTAGAAATGAAATTCTGATGCTCTCTCAAAAGAAAATATATATCCATACACAGATATGCACACACATAAACATAAATGTTCTCTTTGACTCCGCCCCCCCCCCCCCCCATATTTGGTTCATTCATATGTTAATATTTGAATCTGTGAGCAGTATTTCCTTCCTTCTCTGTTGCAATTTTCTGCCAAAACCAAAAGTCTTCCAATTGCTTGTCTGTTTGCCCCTTCAACTCCTGCTTTGATGTCATGGCTGTCAGGGTTCCAAGTAGTATCCCCAACACTCAAGTATCCCCAAAACTCCGAGGCAGGTTTCTTCCTCAAGGCATACATTTATTGTAAATGTCATATTGGCACATCTGGGGAAAACCCGAATCTAACATTCCACGTTTTTCCCACCCAAAGTAAACCCCAAATTTCCTTCCCCTGCATCCACATCTGCATCACATGGTCCAATCAAATCAGCGCCACAACTTCAGCCAACTTCTATCACTCCTTCCCAGGTGCAGGCTGGAGGTCCTTGACTCCCAAGGGAAAGAATGTTATGATTATACATCCCACACTGTCTTCACCTCCTTCCTTATGTTCCCACAGCTTGCTCAATCCCCGTTGTGGCAGCCCTGTAGACTCTAGCATAAGATGTCTCTAGGGCTGACAATGGCATCCTCAGCATATTTGGTCCTAGGCTTTTGTCACCTTCACTGCAAGAAAAGTTATAGTTCAGTGTGCTGCTGCTACTGCTGCTGAGATTAGTAAGGTGTGTGCCAAATGCATCCTTATTAGTCTTTGTGCAAGGTAAACAGTCTCTTGTCAAGTCACATTCATATGAGTACAGTTCATGGAACTCAAATTCTTCTTGGTAGCATTATCTGTTTAGGTACTTACTTGCTTATTGGATCCTGTTTTTCTATGTTGTATCCTGTGCAAGTCCTTATCAAACAAGGCAGGTAATTAAAGGGTTGAAAGGCTTTTTTTGGCTTTGTAAATTTCCTGATAGAAAGCCAGTTTGATGTAGTAGTTAAAGCATCAGACTAGAAACTAAGAGACCAAGCGACTGTGAGTTCAAGTTCAGCCTTGATCACAAAGCTTTGGGCCAGTGACTTTCCATCAGCCGTAGGAGGGAGGCAATGGCAAACCGTTTGTGAAAAATCTTGCCCAAAACCTACAGGGATTTATCCAGGCAGTCTCCCAAGAATCGGACATAATTGAACAGAAGGAAATAGCTGAAAATCAGCAGAAGAATTAGCCAGCAAGAATGTAGAATCCTTGGTGCTCTTTGAGCTTGGTTGTTTTCTTGCAGACATTTTATTACTCAAAGCAGGTAATATTATCAGTGAAAATGTGTCTTGCAAGTTGTCCAAACAGAATGAGCAAATTCCAAGCTTCAGAAGCTATTGTAACAATCCATGGTTCAAGCAGTAGAGAATTTCATGAACCAGCCCAAATATCAATCTAAGAGTTCAAATGCCAAGCATAGAGGGTTCTTTCCATTGAAAGGGCAAAGGTTTGGGGTTTATATAGTCCCAAATGCTGGTAGGATTTGTTTAGATGTGTTGCTACTTTCTCCATGTGCAGAATCAAGCTTATTTTCCCCTATCCTCAGCATTTTGTAACTGCCAGCATGCTTTTGACTTGAGCCCTCTAGTGAAATCTACTTCCTTATTATCTGAATTGGATTTCATGTGCTCAGACTCCCCTGTCTCCCAGAGTGACTGCAGGTGTGTTTGAGACTATTCAGGCTGCTGGTTTGTCAAACTACCTCTTCAACTTTTGACTGTGAAGATTCAGATAAGTCTGTAACTGGAAGGACTTACGAAAATATTATTTGCACCCTACTTACATTGGACTTAGGGCCTTAGGTCTCAGGAAATCCATTCAGTGTCTCTTCTGGCAGAATCATTCATCACTATGTGAAGCATTGGATATACCAAACATCAACTGATGCTTCATTTTAACCCACAAATTATAAAACAATTTTGCTTGGATTGATCCCAAGCTTGTTGTTTCCCATCCTGACTCTAACAACTTTAAACATTGGGAAAGAATAACAATTACTTTACATAACAGTATAGAACTACATTACATTAATTTTACCATGTTTCCCCCAAAATCGATCTACTCAAAGTAAGTCCTAGCTTGGTTTTTACATAAGCGCCCAATTTAACCCCTACCTCCAAAATAAGCCCTAATTAAGATCCCGCCCACTCCAGGGTGCACAGGTAAAAATTAAGCTAGGGTGGGGATGGGGTGGTGGGGGAGTTGCCCTATTACTTACCTTTGGATAATTATCTGCAAATGCCTGTAATTTATATTGTTCCTTTTTTATTTCCATACCTTTAATTTCTATGTCTTGTCTAATATTTCTATTCAGCACTTCCAATGTCAACATAAATAGTAAAGGAGATAGTAGACATCCTTGTCTTGTGCTTTTTTAATATTAAAAATGTCATATTCGATTAAGTTAGATCAATGGCAGAAATTATGGGATAAAAATTACAGATTAACAATGTCTATTGCATACAAAGAAAATCTTTATAAAATTTGTTATAGATGGCATTTTCCTCCCTCAAGGTTAGCAAAGATGTTTAAGGATAAATCTGCAAAATGTTGGAAATGACACCAGATACCTGGTTCATACTGTCATATGTGGTGGATACACACATGGCTTGAAAAACTGATAAAGCAACATATAGATTTGAGACATTTTTTTAATTTTTATTGGTTTTTAAAACAAATATAAACAAACAAAACATAAAAACATCAAGCCATCTTCCATATATATACATACAGTGTGCCGGTTGGTTTACAAATTGTTTTGTGCTTCCATTTCGTAGTCTTCAATTACAATTACATTGTATATACTCTCGTATTTTCAATCAAATATTACATACATTAATATCATTATTAATCATTTGACTATACTTTTATTCATTCATGTTTTACGAAATAATCATATTTTACTTAATTTGTTTTATGACGGTTCATATCATCATCTCAAATCTATCCTAAAATCATTTTGTAGATATAATAAAAAAGAATACATCTTTATATATTTATTATTTTCTAAGAATCTACATATTTCATTACTGTATTTTATTGTCTAACCATTGATAGAATAGATCCCAAATTTTATAAAATTGTTTATCCTCTTGTTCTCTAATTTCAAATGTCAATCTACTCACTTCAGCACATTCCAATATTTTCTTAATGATTTCCTCCTGTGATGGTGTTTTCTCATTTTTCCAGTTTTTAGCAAATACAATCCTAGCCGCTGTTAATACATTTACAATCAGGTATTTCAAGTCTTTACTATATATTTCAAGTAAAATTCCCAATAAAAATATCTCTGGTTTCAAATCTATATGCTTTTTTGTCATTTTTTCCAACCACGTATGGATTTTAGTCCAATATTTTTTAGCATCCGCACAAGTCCGCCACATATGGTAATATGAGCCAGGTGTCTGATGACATTTCCAACATTTTTCGGATTTATTCTTGAATATTCTTACTATTCTTGTCGGGGAAAATGCCACCTGTAAAACATCTTATACAAATTTTCTTTATATGCTGTTGACATTGTCATTTTATAATTTTGAGACCACAGTTTTTGCCATTTCTCTAGATCAATCCCATATCCAAAATTCTTCCCCCAAGCAATCATAGTTTCTTTAACTTGTTCTTCTAGTTTAATTTCTAATAAATATCCATATAATTTTTAAATCACCTCTTCATCAGTACCTGTCAAAATCATATTTAAGTCAGTCAGTTTATCATAGAAACCTTCTGTTTTAGAATCTTTATCATACCTTGAATGTATTTGCACATATGAAAACTAATTCATCTTTATACCTTGTTCCTCTAGTTTTTGCATAGATTTAAGTTCACCCTTTTCATTCAATATTTCACCATATCTAACTGTTTGTTCCTTTTTGTATATTATAGGATAAGAAAATGCTTCAATAGTCTTTAGCCAGACTGGAATTTTCAAATAACATTGTCTTTTAATCTTCTCCCAGTTTAACCACAGAGACTCCCGTATATAATGTCTTCTAAAATCCCCCTGTGTTTTAGTTCCTTTGTACCATAAAAAAGCATGCCACCCCAACAACAGATCATCTCCTTCTAATGTCAACAATCTAGTATTTCTTAATGTTATCCATTCCTTAATCCACATCAAATTTGTAGCTTGGTAATACAACTCCCAATTAGGCAAACTAAATCCTCCTCTTATTCTAGCATCTTGCAAAAGTTTTAACTTTATTCTCGCTTTCTTACCTTGCCATATATATTTCAACACAATTTTATTTAAATCTTCAAAGTAATCTTTTCCAAGCCTAATTGGAATTGTTTGGAACAAATATAAAATTCTGGGTAATATATTCATCTTGATTGTTGATATTCTTCCTATTAATGACAGTTGGAAATTTTCCCATTTCGCCAAATCTAGCGCTGTCTGCTGCTTAAGTTTGATATAATTATTCTCTTTTAGTGTACTGCATCTTGCTGTCAAATATATCCCCAAGTACTTGATCTTATTCGTGACCTGGATTTTCAATAGATCTGCCAGTTCTTCCTTTTGTCTTGATAACATATTCTTTGTTAGGATCTTTGTCTTATTTTTATTTATTTTCAAACCAGCCACCTTTCCATATGTCTCTATCTTTTCTATCAATTTTGATGCTGTTTCTAGTGGATCTTCTAAAATGAAAACCAGATCATCTGCAAATGCTTGCAATTTAAATTCTTCCTTTTTAATTTTCATCCCTTTTATATTCTTTTCATCTCTTATATTTCTATTTAGCACTTCCAAGGTTAACACAAACAACAGAGGTGATAGTGGGCACCCTTGTCTTGTTCCTTTTCTTATATCGATAGTGTCTGTCAGTTCTCCCTCTATCATTACCTTTGCTGTTTGCTTATGATATATAGCTTCTATTGCTTGAATAATTTTTTTTAGCAAAGCCCATCTGTTCCAGCAGTAATAACATGAATCGCCAATTCACATTATCAAATGCCTTCTGTGCATCTAAAAATATCAAAGCCCTTTGTTTTTCAGAGTGTGCCTCGTAGTATTCCAAAGTGTCCAAGATTACTCTCATATTATCTTTAATTTGTCTCTGGCAGAAATCCATTTTGATCAGGTTGGATAAAATTGTTTAAATATTTTTTAAGTTTTTCTGCCATAACTTCATTCATAACTTCATTCATAACATAACTTCATTCATAATTTTTAGCAATGGAAGGTTCAACGATTCTTGTAATGTTTTGTAAAATTCTGCCGGAAGTCCATCTGGGCCTGGTGCCTTTCCATTATTTTGCTTCTTGAGTGCTTCAGTTAACTCCATCATCGTTATATTGCTTTCTAACATTATTTCAATCTCTTTAGGTATCTGGGATAGATTAGCATTCTGTAAATACTGTTTAACTCTTTCCTCATCAATATTCTCTTGTGTTTATAATTTCCCATAATAGTCTCGTATGATTTCCTTCTTCTCTTTACTACCATAGCAAACTGGGCCTTGGTCATCTATTAATTGCAATATTTTCCTTGATTCTTTCTCCTTTCTCAATTTATATGCTAACCATCTACCTGGTTTATTTGCATCTTCAAAATAGTTCTGTTTAGCACCTCTAATTTTCTGTGCTAGTTCTTCTTTTTCTATTAGACCCATTTTATGTTTGGTTATATCCATTTTTAACTTAATGTCCTTTTTCTGTGGCATTTTCTGTAACTCTTTTTCAAGTCCTTTTACTCATCCTCTAATGCCTTAGAGGCTTATCTTTTCATGGTATTTCTTTTCCTTGTATAGTCTATTATCAAGCCTCTGGCATATGCCTTCATTGTATCCCATACGTTCTGGATTGATGTATCTTCTTTTTTGTTTTCTCTGAAGAAAAAAGCCATTTTTTTCTCCATCCACTGTGTGAAGTCTTTTTCCTTTAAAATAGTATTATCAAACGTCCATTTGAGACATTTTTATTGATCATTTTACCAGAAAGGTATAACAAAGGGAATGTATATCTGATTTTACATGTATTGATTGCAGCGAGAATAGTATTTGCACAACAGTGGAAAAGCAAAAAGACCCCAACAGATGAAGATATGATTACAAAAATATTAGAATGTGTAGAAATGGATAAGCTAATACAATTAAGGGAAAGGAAGAAACTAAATATTATTTGACTTGGGACTTATTTTATAAATGGTTAGCTGACAAAAACAGGAGCTAGAAACAGGGAAATATATGAAAGGATTAGTGACACAAGGAAGATATGTTAACTTGGTTAAACAAATAGTATGATTATTATTGATATTAATATTAATATAATTGATATTAATGCAGTGAATACTTGTAAATACTGTATTATTTCCTAAAATGATTTGTACCCAGACAGCACATTGTTCAATTGAAATTGGAATTTTTGTATGCTATAAAATAAAAACGTATTACAAAAACCCCCTCAATCTCAAATATCTAGGAAAAAGAGAGAATTCCTGCTGATATATTAGGAAGCTCTTTAAAGCAGCATTTCTAATGAATTGTTCCTCCATAGGTTTTCTTTCAGGTGTTCAGGTGTTCAGACGTCTGTTTTGGGTTATATCAGCTTTGTAAAGCTTTAGAGTACAAATTTCATGATTTTATTTACTATTGAATTTTACGTTAGAATTTAGTAAGAATGTGATGTGAGTTTCCTGAACTGTGTTACTTGAAACATGAGTATATGGATACTGGGTGGGAATTGGTAATTTTGTGTTATTTATGAAGGGTACAGACCTAAGTAATACTTATTGTTATGCTGTAGATGCCCTCTCCAGAGAGAAGAGTATTCATTTTAGCCTCTGACCGCATCATATCATATCCAAAAACCATTTTAAGTGCATTGCAAATCTCTTATTTCACTTTTGCATTTTAGAAATGTATTTCATCCCTGTTTCCACATTTACTAGCATCTAGGAAAATGCATTATATAATACCTGTCCTGAAAAATCTTGCCTTGATGTTTCTTCTTTTCCTCCTCTACCAATTATAGATCTATCAAGTTCAAAAGGTAGGGCTGTCATAGTTTACTATAATATTGCATGCTTTTGTTTTCTCACACCAAGGCTTTGATAGTTGATTCTTTAGAAGCAGCTAAATACATCATGTATTTAGCATATTTTATTTGAAAATGTATACTTAAAATATTTTCACTTATTTCTAAGCCACATGAAATTCATTTTTAACACAAGCTGAGAAGACTTGTTGCAATATATTTATTGCATATTCAAATAGCAGAAGCTATTGCTATATGATTAAAGAAGAAACACACATAAGGAACACCCAAAGAATAAACAGAACACCAGAATTTGTTCAAATTCTCTGGGCAGGTAGTAATACCAATTCTATTCATTTCTGATACGTTAGCTGAATTTGAAAGTATCAAAACTGAAAAAGTCTCTCTGTGAATGAACCTCTAAGAACTGTTTTATCTGTAGCTATTCTGTGTCAAATATTTAGTTGACAGACTGGGAGATAGTTTAATATACAGTAGTGGAGATGATGCTGGCCTAGAAATAAGGAGAGTATGAGTTCTAGGTTTCACTTAAGCAAGAAAGTCACTTGTTTGACTTTGGATCAGTCACTGTCTCTCAGCCCAGCTCGCTTTATAGGATTTTTATTGTTGTGGAGATAATAGGAGATAGGAATATTTGATACAGTGCATTCAGAAAATGTTCAGACCCCCCCTCACTTTTGTCAATTTTGTTATGTTGCAGCCTGATTCTTCAGTTGTTGAAATTCATTTTTCCCATTAATCTACAGGCAGTACCCAATAATAATAAAGTCAAAACAAAATTTTAGAAATATCTGTAAATTTATTAAAAAGGAAAAACTGAAATATCACATTGGCAGAAGTACAAGTAGTCCTCAACTTACGACCACAATTGAGCCCAAAATTTATGTTGTTAAGTGAGAAATTTGTTAGTGAATTTTGCCATATTATCTTACCATATTTGTTAAGTGAATCACTGTAGTTGTTAAATTAGTAACACAGTTGTTAAGTGAATCTGGTTTCCCCAATGACTTCACTTGTCAGAAGGTGGCAAAAGGGAATCACATGACTCTGGGACACTGCAACCAACATACATGTGAATTGGTTGTCAAGCATCTGAATGTAAATCACATGACCATGGGATGCTGCAACAGTCATAAGTGTAAAAATGGTCTTAAGTCCCCTTTTTTTAGTGCTGTTGTAACTTCAAATGGTCACCAAACGAACTGTTGTAGGTTGAGGATTACCTGTATTCAGACCCTTTGCAACAATACTTGAAATTTAGCTCAGGTACCTCCCTTTCTCTTAATCATTGCTGACATGTTTCTACACCTTGATTGGAGTTGATCTGTGGTAAATTAGATTGACTGGACATCATTTGCAAAGGCACACACCTCTATAGAAGGCCTAACAGCTGACAATGCCTATTGTAGCAGAGCAAAAGCCATGAGGTCAAATGAACTGCCTGTGGGGCTCAGAGACAGGGTTATTGTAATGCACAGATCTGGAGAAGGCTACAATAAAATTTCAGCTGCACTGAAGGTTCCTCAGAGCATAGTGGTCTGCACAATTCTCAAATGGAAGAAATTTGGCATAACCAGGACTCTTCCAAGAGCTAGTCGCCTAGTCAAACTGAGTAATCAGAAGAGAAGTACCTTAGTAAGAGAAGTGACCAAGAACCTGATGGTCACTCTGACTGAACTCCAGAGACCCCATCCAGAGATGGGACAGAGTTCCTGAAGGACAGCCATTACTGCAGCCCTCCACTGATCTGGGTTTTATGGGGGAGTAGCTAGATAGAAGCTTTTCCTCAGTGTAAAACACATGAAAAATGCACCTGAAGGACTCTCAGACTGTAAGGAACAAGATACTCTGACCTGATGAAACTAAGATTGAACAGTTGGGCCTCAATTCTAAACATTATGTCTGGAGGAAGCCAGGCACCGCTCCTCATCTGCCCAATGTCATTGCAACAGGGAAGCATGGTGGAGGCAGCACCATGCTGTGGGATTATTTTTCAGCAGTTGTTCTGAACCAACCGGGTTCCCAAAGAGCAAACACATACAAAGGCAACAGCCCCCACCTTTTAAGGTTTAATAATGTATTCTGTTCTGAAGGCTGCTTTCCACTAATTAGCTCCGACAAGAAAGAGCCTAGCCAAGTTGTTTGTCAAGGGTGCCAAAAACCCAGAGATAAGAATTAATTTACAAAATTCTCCAAACACGAACTAAGATGTCCACCAGTTGAGTTTAAGAGCTTCTTTGCTGTCTGCAAAGAACACTTTTCCAAACCTGGCTTTTATCCTCTTGAGGGAGGGGCCATTACCTTGCAGCCTTACTCCCGAGTTGCCTGTGCTGCTGTAATTATTCCTTCCTCTGAATAATCCTTCATGTACATGCACTTGGCACAGGCTCCTTAGGAACCTCCTCATCACTGCTGCCAGCCCCCACAATCTTTGAAGGCAGCAGTCCACTCCCTAATGGTCCTGGCCCCTCATCAGAGTCATCACTCTCCTCAGCCATCTGCACCTGCTGCCAGCTAACCACAACAGCAGTAGGGATTGGGAGACTGGTCAGGGTTGAGGAAAAGTAGAAGGGAACAAAGCACAGGCATATCCTCAATGAAAACCTGTTCCACAGCTGCCAAAGGTGTTTCAAAGAAGTACTGAGTGAACGGTTTGAATACTTATGCCAATATGATATTTCAGTTTTTTTCTTTTTAATACATTTACAGACATTTCTAAAATTCTGTTTCCACTTTGTCATTATGGGGTACTGAGTGTAGATCAGAGGTATCAATGGATTTTTTCGAGGGCCGGATCAACATTGTACTTCTCCTCTGTGGGCTAGTGAGGAGCGGCGAGGAAGTGGGACGGACGCCTCCTGCCGCACTGTGCTGTCCAAAACAAGGATGTGCATGGCCCCTTCTGCCCCATTTTAGTACTGAATGGTTTCCTGCAGCACTTTGCCAGCACTTTGCCTGGACCCTGGGAACCGCAGGAGGCTCTCCTGCACCTTGTTTCCAATCTCCATGGCCTCCAGCAGCACTCTGCCAGCAAAAAACATTTTTGGCTTCCATGGCCTCCTGCAGCACTCTGAAGGCTTCATGAGGACCCACAAGGCCCATTTTTGGCCTCCCTGACCTCCAGCAGCTCTCTGCCAGCCCAAAAAGGGCCAAGCCTAGCTCAGCCCTAGCTGGTGGAGCACAACCGGTTGTCCAAGCTGGGGAGGGAGTCCTTCCGGCAGTGGCCAGGCCGAAGGTCTGGATGGAGAAGACTGAAAGGCAAGTGGTGTGGGAAGAAGTCATAACCACCCCCTCCCCCGAGCTCTGTTTTTGCTGGCAGAGGACTGCAGGAGGCTGTCACGGCCAATAACAGAACCTGGGAGGACCACATGTGGCCCTCCCGAGTGCCATTTTGGCCGGCAGAGGCACTATGGGCTGGTCCTTTGATATTTCCAGGCCAGCTGCGTAGGCCAGATTTAAGCATCCTGCAGTCTGGATCTGGGCCATGGGCCTTGAATTTGACACCCCTGGTATAGATTAATGAGAAAAAAATGAATTTCAACAGCTGTAGAATCAGGCTGCAACAAAATTGACCAAAATGAAGGGTGTGTGTGAATCCTTCTTGAACGTATTGTGTAGTCATTGCCTTGAGTTAACCACATAGGTATATAGATAATAGATACATTGGAATAAAAATCTAATAATGATAAGTGCCAGTGTAATGCTATTTGATATTAGGTTCATACCATAGCATTGTTTCATAACTGATCTACAGAAGTTTTCAGAAAAAAAAGAATGAGAAAAGGTTTTTAGGGGCAAGGTAGCAGATATACAGTATTTAATTTTTAAAAACTAACTAGGTTTTTTTAAGGGTTTCCAAAGTTACATTTTTGTTGCATGGAATAAGTGAAAATTTTGATCTTTCTAATATTTGAAAACTGCATATAAAAAGTCTGTAACTGGGCATCCTTTGTCTTACTGATATATGAAGATCTCTATGAAATATATTCATTAGTAATTCATTAGTTATTTGTCTCATCTCAAAAATAAAAAAAATCATGACAGACTAATTTTTGAATGGGTTCTTCTGCATGTTTTCACTGAGTGATTTAGTACTAATGCTTCTTTAAAATAACAATTTGGTATGCAAATTAAGCTATTTCTGAAATACTTGTCTTCCTTTTCTTGTTTGACTGCTTCAGTCTTGTGCTATGTTTAAGAGATCCCTTTTTGAATTTTGAAAATATTCAAACTGCCTTTACCTGCAGTGTATATTGACATTCTTCTGTCTCTAATTAGATCAGTTTTATAGTTTTTTGTAGGTTTTAATTAGAACCTGGGGGCTGGAGGGGAAACCATAAAATGTATTGCTAGCTGCTAGGCTACTGCTAGGTGAGTATTGCTACAAAATACGTTCAAAATTATCACAGAGTATGTTTAATAGAATTTAAGCCATTTCTAGTGATCACATTTTCTCATCTTCCTTGATTCTGTTTTTTTTTTATTGCAATCATAAATAATTTCCTTTAAAAACACTTAAATGGTTTAAAAGAGTACTGACATGGAAGAAAATTTCAAATATTTCTTTCTAATTATTTCAAAACAATATGCTTCTTAGAACAATAAGCTTGCTTTCTACCTCATTCATGAGCAATTTATGGTTATTTATCTTCTAGCCCAGTTAATTTTGCTCAGGAAACTGTTCCTGATAAATTAATGGAAAAAAACATATTTTGCAGTTATTTTTCTCACCCTTTTGTTCATTATACACTTGAACACATTTTAAAGATATTCAGTAATTTTATTATGAGATAATGATTAAAACATTAAACTAGGATGGAGAGACTCAGAGCCAAAACTATCCTCAACCATGGAAACTCATTTGATTGCTTGGGACCAGTTACTCTCAAGCTGCCCCACAAGTTGCCTCAGGTATAAAATGTAACTCACCTAATGCCTTATTGCAATGTCTTAACATTTCATTACTATTTTACCTTCTTTAAGCAGATTGCATCTTTGCTAAGAGAAATTTGGGGGGGGGGGAATGAAATATACTCAGATGGGATTTTAAAAAAACAGCATGTATTATGACTTAGCATATGCAACAACTACATTAGTATTACAAAAGTTGGCAACATACTTAAGTTTTAGAAATGCTTTGTGGGCAGTAGGTGGAATAGACTCCCCTGTCCCCCCGCTGCTGCCCAATCCTGTTCATGTAGATGGGCAGAACAAGAAAGGAACATGGTTTTTCCTTCATGTTTATTCTTTTTAAAAACATTGCTAAGTTTCTCTTACTTCCTGTAAACACATAGACGTACACATAACACATTATTCAGAATATGTTTTCCATTCTAATCTTTCAAGTATCTGCATTCTCTCATTGTTATTTTGTTCAAATTTACATATTTAGATAGTTGATTAAACTAAATTCCATTTTAAATTTTACTTTTTGTAGGGCACGGTTAATAACATTTCTCTCTCTATTTGTACCTCTCTCTATATCCTTAAACCTATTCAAAATAACTACATATCCTTTGAACTTGAAGGATCACCTGTGATTAATTTTCTATTATTCTTTCTTTTATTCTTATTTCTTATTTTTCAGATTGTGACCATATTGGTATAGCCTTCCTTTGTTAGTTTGTAGACTCTTTAATCTTGCAGTACCATGTTTCCCTGAAAATAAGACCCGGTCTTATTTTCTTTTGACCTCCGAAATAAGCGGCAGGGTTGTCTTATTTTTTTTGCCCTACATTTCAGGGAAGCTCAACATTCCAGAGTAGCTGAAAATGGCGCTTCAGTTCCACGTCTGCTGCTGCAAAAGTCATTGCTAGCACTCTCTGAGCATGCTTGGGGCCAGCGAGCAGGCATGATTGGAACCATAGCTGCAGCTTCTTCCTGCTTTAGCTTTGCCCTCAGTCAGGAGTGGGCTGGTTCATGGTGAAATGGTGAGTGAATTTGTTTGCGAGGCATCCCTTAAAGCCTCAGCAGGAGGGAGGGATTGCTTGGGTTGTAGGATGAGAAAGTGGGGTTAATACATGAGGCGTGGGTACAGGTCGAGCTTGACATTTTACCTTCCTGCCTTGTGCGAACTTTTGGCTGCACACAAGGAAAGCAGAAGCAACAGAGATCCTGGCTTGTTTCTCTCCCCTAAACTCTGCCAGAAATGAGTTTTTGCAAGGCTCATCAGGCCGGCGCAGCCTCTTGCAGCAGGACACTGCAAGGCTTGTTGTGCTGTTGCACTTGCAAGCAAGAGCACTGCCATGAGGTTCATCACAGGATGCTGCAAGGCTTGCTGTGGTTTTGCACGTGCAAGCAGCAGCATTGCTGCGAGGTTCATCAACCAGCGCAGCTGCTTGCGGCAAGGTGCTGCAAGGTTTGTTGAGTTGCATGTGAGTGGCGGTGCTGCCGTGAACGGCTCTGCCGGTGTGACAAACCTCATGGCAGTACTGCTGCAGGTTTGTGCAATGTCACAAACCTTGTGGCATCCTGCCATGAGAGGCTGCACCAGTGTGATGAACCTCATGACAGTGCTACCACTTGCACATGTAATAGCACAACAAGCTTTGAAGCGTCCTGCCACAAGAGGCTGCACCGGTGCGACAAGCCTTGCGAAGACCCATTTCTGGCAGAGTTTGAGGGAGAGAAGCAAGCCAGGGTCTCTGCTGCTTCTGCTTTCCTTGTGTCTAGCCAAAAGTTCACAAAAAGCAGGAAAGTGAAATGTCAAGCTCAACTCATACCCATACCCACACCTTGCGTATTAACCCCACTTTCTCAGCCTAATACCAAGCGACCCTCGCCTCCTGGTTTTTAGGAATACTTCACAAGCGAATTCATCCACCATGAACCAGCCCATTCCCAGCTGAGGGAAAAGCTAAAGCAGGAAGAACCGGCCACTTGCATCCTGCCATGAGTGGCTTCAGAAGAAGTTGGGCAGCAGAGTGACAGTTGTTGGGGTTTGAGAAGCCTGGCTGCACCATTCCTTGGGTAAGTGGGTGCAGGGTGCATGAGGCGGCTACCCCCACCCCAGCTTGATTTTTAAGCCTGAACCTCACCCCATCTTGTACAACCAGTTGGGTGGGGCTTAACTAGGGCTTATTTTGGGGGGTAGGGCTTATTTTAGATGCAGGTGTGAAAATTAGAGTAGGGCTTATTTGGGGGGTAGGTCATACTTTCGGGGAAACATGGTAGTTTCAGGAGTTGATTTATTACATATTGTTCATGGCGTGATTTTTCTCCCTGTATATTTGAATTAATATCACACTGGGTACAAAAAGAATTTGATTTGAAAAGAAACAAGCTCTGATTTCAAGGTCTGCCATTTCCTTTTAAATTTTGGTACATTAACATTCTATTAAATTTGATTAAGCAAAACAAAATATTTTTTAATCAGTGCAAAATCTCTGGAGCTGATATGTCTATATCGTGTGTGTGTGTGTGTGTGTTTCTGTGTGTATTTTCAGTACTTCTCATCTTTCCTTCCTCTTCTGTTCATAGAAATACTACGGTCTGTGTACAAAGTTTTCTGACATCGAACAGTGGATGGTAGGCTTTGTTAAAAAATCCAGTATTTTCAAGTATTTATATTTCTGAACTTTAATTATTACTGAGGCTGATGGTTTGGAGGAATGCTGACATTTAGAAACAATTTAATAAAAAAACATCTTTAAGTTTTCTAGTAATATTGCTGAAAAATGTCTATCCTAACAGTTACTGAGATTATTACTGAGAGGATCTAACCACATAGTATTTATTTATAGCTTTGCTAAATTATTCCTCATTTGATTTCTTGTCCTGTTGATTAAGTAATGAGAAAAATTTGTGTAGATTCTTTCTAACTGAACAGGTCAAATGAGAGAAAAATAAATTTGGTGAGACTGAAATGATCATTTAAATATGGACAACTCAGGACACATTCAGCAACTAGTTTTTAAAAACCTTGGATGTATCTAATAATAACTTAATATGTTCAAAATTTTACTGAGGGATGGGATTATCCTCTGGGGCTCTAGATAGGGACTTTCAGGAGGAATTGTATAACTTTCTCACTGTCAGAGCAAACATATTACATAGTTGTCCCACAAAGTACAAAAATGGACTGTCTCATATTACTTGTAACTCTTTACAATTAACAACATTAAACAAAGCAATTAAAAGCAGAAGAAATAGCGGAAAAGTAAGATAATCCACCTTTATAACCAAATCCATTATACATGGCCCTGGAAGCATGCCTCCATGAGCAAGAGCTGTGATCTTGACTGGGAACATTTTCCTATATGAAATGCTAAATCATGCTTTTAACTATAAAAATCTTATGTCATAATAAAGTTGTATATGTTTTAGAGGTATTTGATATGAGGCATTTTGGTGATTATTTGAGCATCTGTCCAAACCTCTCACAGATAAGATCACAACTTTTTTTCCATGTGAGCTTGAAAAAGATCAAACTAATTCTGCTTTAATGAACAGCAGGAAGGTGCTATGCTCATTCGAACTCAAAGCACTTCTTCTCAATCATTTTTGAAGCATACACTATCCTACTTCCTGTCAAGGTTAAAAAAATTCACTTTATAAAAATGCACTTTATAAAAATCAAATCATGGACCCATTGCTTATTTCCGTTTTATGCTAGCTCTTTTCTTTGAAATAAATTAAGACATGATGGGAAAGAAATCCTTAGATCTAAGAAATGTACAATTAAATATGAGTAGGAGAAAATATTCTATTGGTTAAACGATATAATGAAAATTGAGTAAATGAGGATATGCTTAAAGACATATGAATACCTGCTCTATGTTTGATCATCTTCAGCAATAGCAGCAGTTTTTAATAGCAAATAACAAGTCTTGCCAAGGACTCCTTTCATATTAAGATGCATATATTCCATATAGGAAAACTTCATTTAGATAAAGCAAATTAACAATCTGAAGAAACTGTTCAATGTGAACACAAGATAAATTTGGCAGATCATTTCTTGTTAAAAATCTACTTTCCTATCCAGTCTTCTGTAGCTGACATTCTTCCTAATCTCTCTCAAACAAGAATGTAGAAAAAAGGTGGAAGTTGTCCCAAATGGCCATATTGAAAGATAGCCTCTTGAAGAAGTCACTGTCCCTTATACATCTTGAATGCAGCTTCTTATCTCTTTCCAAACAACTTGAAAAAGCCAAAGATGCAAAATCACATTTGTCAGAGCTCATTTCATAGACATCCCTACTCATCTAATAACAGATGACCCCAAGGTTTCACTCCCTGGATTCTGATCAGCTATAATATAATGAATATGAATAGTTCTGTTGGAAAAGAAGTCACAGTGATGCAAATGTGGTTAATGTGATTTTTCACTTCCCAACTGAGTGTTGCTGTGTCACTAGGTAATGTATCTCTTTGTTGTTTTAGGTGTTTCTACTCTAATTCTTTTTTTTTTTTACTATTTTAAAATTTTATTTCTCCTGCATTTTTTGGAGGTCCGGGGTACCAACATATATAATAATGACCAATAAGGGGGAGTCTATATTAAAGGATATCCTCAAAATACATTTCAACTGATAAAAATAAAAGCTAAATCAGATATATGGCCTGAGATGACCTGGGACAACCCAGGTTTTAATGACCATCAAATCCTGAGCCAAACAATCCTTATCCCCAGGGCATGGAGATTTTACATCACTTACACCTCAATTGAGACCAAAATTTGTGTCACTAAGTGAAACATTTGTTGAATGAATTTTGCCCCATTTTACAACTTCTCTTGCCACAATTGTTAAGTTAGTAACATGATTGTTAAGTGAATCTGGCTTCTCCATTGACTTTCCTTGTAAGAAGTTTGCAAAAGGTGACTTATTTATAGCTTTGTCAAGTTATTCCTCATTTGATTTCTTATAGTGTAGGTTTAAAAAAATGAGATTTTTTTAAGACATTTTCATTAACTGGACAGTTCAGATGTCCAGTTACTGAAAGCATCTGAATTTTGATCACATGACCATGAGGAATGCTGCAGTGTTCATAAGTATGAAAACAGTCGTTAAGTTCCATTTTTCAGTGTCATTAACTTTGAATGGTCACTAAATTAACTGTTGTAAATCACAGATTATCTCTACTGAGCTTTCATTTCAACAGCTTATTACTGCTTACATTCAAACCAAAGTAATTTCCAAACCTCCAAAATGGTTTTGATCATATAGTTGTTTGGAGGGATATCCTAGTAAACATAAATATGAAATATTTTCAGAAAGTAATTGTTAAATTTTCAGCTATTATGCTTTTACTTTTGTCCTCTGGGAAATTTCTGACTTTTGCATATGGAGTTGGCTGTTAAAGCTACCTAAGCTACAACAGTGTTTGTTAGTTGTGTGGGTAGGTAGCGGAGAGATTGATATATACTTCATATGTAGACTGCAGGACCAGGAGATTCAAAACAAATGTATCAGTGTCTGAAACTGGAGCAGTTTGAATGTATACTTATAGAATTTTTTACCAGCATATGTGCTTACTGAATCTAGGACAGGAGTAATTGTTGAATATGGATAAAAGGTTTTTAATCCCGAAGCTTCTTTGTTCTTCTTGTTTTCAAGTGCAGTGTTGTTGAACACAACTTAATTTTATGCTTTTTATTATTAATTTATAGTGTTAATATACAAGGAGAAAAAGTAGATACATTTTTGTTTCCTTTTTACTCTTTTAAAAATTTACTATAACAATGTTTCAGCCCAATATTTAAACCCTTTGTTATACATAGTTTGACATATAGAATTATTATCAGATTTTTTATTACATCAATCAAGTGACTTCATAGAGCAGAACTGTCAATGATTTCAGAATGTAAATCTGGGGAAGCGCTATCTTTCCAAAATCAGTGAAATTGTTATAGTTGTTCTCAGAAGTTCAGTAAATCCATAATTATTTATATTGTGATAAAATTTAATTTGGATAAATATTTCAAATGTACTTTTACATCTTTAATTCATATTCTGAAAATATCTTTTGTTAAATTAGTATCATCTTAAGATCAAAGATGAATATTCTTTTAATTTACTTGATCTATTAATATGGGATATCCCAACACTTCATTAGAGAGATATTGCAAATAATTTTGATTAAGATTATTTGAATAAATTGCAGTTTTAGGCAATTTAAATGCCACTTTCAAAGCTCAAAAGATTTAACAACATAATTGATCAGAAAGATGAGCTAGCATTAATATTCCCATTAATATCCCATAAGTTCCACAACCAAAAGAGATTTACCTGCAATTTTCAACCTGAGATTATCACAGAGGATAAATTTGCAATGTGAATAAAGATCAAAATTATACTCCTATTGCTAAAATTATACTTCTCCATTATCTTCCAAATGGAGTCAAGCTTTTGTCATAGTACCAAAGAGGTCACATAATAACATTCTAATTGTACCTACACTAGATTATACTTTATTATCTGTGTTTCATTAAAAACATTTTAATAACTTGTCTTTTCCGATAAACATTTAAATTTTTAATCTGTGATTAAATTTATCTGGGATAAAACATTTGGTATATTTAGAATAATAAGATTTTTTCTTTTCTCTTTCTAGATATATGAATTATTTTAAGGATCAACTGAAAACTCAGCTGTTACACATTTCATGTAGAAACAACAGAGCTTATATATATACTACCTTTAATTAAATAACCCATCACATAATAACATTTAATTTTTGGTATATAAAATAATTATCAATAATTCATAATATAGCATTGCCATATAAAAGCAGCCTGCATTCTACTTCAATCACTGTCATAGTTGAAGTAATCTCAATAAAGTTCAATAAAGCAAGCCCATTAATACCAAATTAAAAATAAAATGAGATAAAATGTATCCATGATGTATTCAATGATACACTTTTGAAGAGATAATTTTATTTGTAAAAGCTGCAGAAAAGAAAATAATAATAATAATAATAATAATAATAATAATAATAATAATAATAATAATAATAATAATAATA